AGTGAGTGTCTGTAAGAATCTGATGGCTGGCTACTGGGAAACTGCTAAACGCAACGAACATGTCACTGATCTTGCAGACATCGGTACGTTGATCGGATTTCGACACGGCCGCCAGAGGAAAATCTTGCCTTGCCATCCACGAAGCCGTGGAGGTGGGAGTCCCACTTCAAGCCATTGAGCGAGGAAGGCACCTGGCTGTGAAAGGCCGCCCACAGAAAGCATCTCAGAAAGAAGTGTACCCGACTCCGACTCTCGATTGCACATAAACAGTGCCAAGAAGAGCTAAACCTCCTGCGCAGGCATGTTTCGAAAAGAGCTGACTCCTTTGCACCTCGTGTGGAGCAGACAGACAATGCGATCGTACGAGCGGCAGGCCAATTAATCAGGGTTGGAAAACCTCACAGCAGTGCTGTGGTACGAAAAATTCCAACACCTGGACAGCGATGGTGCTCATCGCAAGGCGAAAGGTATCGGCATATGCGTCGGCAGCCAAAATCGACCAGGAGGACAGAAGGCAGAAACACGTCCCGACGCACCAACCATCACAAATCACAACCCAACATTGCAAAACGGTCAGGGCGAGGATCTAACACCAAATCTGCCAAGGAAGCCCGATCTCTCCAGGCAAACAGAAAACCTTGCCTTGCCCGATGTGTCCACGTAAGTGTGGCGGTGGGAGTCCCAGTGCAAGCCGTGCAGGTTCGAAGTGACCTGCTGTGGTTCCGAGCTGCCGCAATCTGACATTCGCAAACAGATCAGCATCAGCCTCGCCCGCATCAATGAAGTGACCGTGGAGGCCGGAAACCTGGAGCTTCTTTGACATTGCGTGGTTTCCCCTTGTGGAATGAAGGCCTTGTCGACATCGTAGTCGTCGTCGAATTTCCAATGGTCTCGGGTATTCCAGAGAGTATGGGGTACCTGTTACTGCGCAATCGGACGTACACACAGGCAGTACTCACAGGAAGCCAAAAACAAGCTCCAACTCACTGAAAAGCCCTTAACGCGAACACGCCCCGCATCATAAACACTTCGCGATGCATCTACACCCTGCTTTTACAGGGCACATCGCCCGATGAGTCCACATACTCGTGAAGCTTGGCATTCCAGTGGAGTCCCTTGAGCATCTCCCCGCCAGCCTTGGAACGCGAGATCCCACTATTGGCCATAACAATGATAATGATAATGAAAGCCACAATCATAAACATACTCATAACTGGAATCACGATCATAAGCACAACCATACTCATAGTCAGTGCTATATTCATAGTTATGTTCTTAACCATGATCACAGTCAACACTCATCGTCATAGGGGACCGTAATTGTACATGGAAGGGTTAGGATTCAATACTGAAGAATTAGTGACCTGCACCTTGACCAGTCTTCATGAATGAATAATGGAATATGCGTATATGAGCGGATAAGAATGATAGCAAATGGAAAAACGTAGGAAACATGGCAATACTTCATGTAAGTGCCAAGCACTTATTGGAATGGCAAGACGCCTAATTGTAGGAGCAGCATGGAGCAATAACTTATTGATGATAATGACCATACGAAGAACAATCGTAGCTCTTTGATGTTACAAATACTGTATCGGTACTGTTTTACCGCTGCTGATGTGCTTTTTGCTATGATGCCTTGGTTGACGACACTTCCATTTTCAGGGTTGGCAAGCATCCCAGGACCCGAAGCCCCGAATCCTCGACCGTCTAGCCTTACCAAGACTACAAGGAAGCTGCTGTCTCTCCAGCGCATGCAGACCCACAAAAAAAGAGACCTGCGAAGAATGGTCATCTGCTGTGACCGCCCCAGCAATCCAAGTTCATGAGGAGTAGCAAAGCGATTGTCAGAGCTTCCCCAATCCGAGTCCTGTTGCTGCGGACTGGCCAGCAACAGCTAAGTGTTGGTCATGTCAGTGCAGCAAACAATTAACGTAGCCGGGAAAACACAGTGAGGGATGCACAACTTTAGTTTGCTAGCATTCGAAGGCTTGTTTACTCTATCACAAGAAAACCATGTGCCTGCGAGAATGTGCGCAGGCACTCTGGAGCGAGTTGATCAACGTTCTTCTTCCCCTTGCGATTTTTCGTGCCGACAAACTGCTGCTGCCTGGGTGGGTGCTATGACTGGCTTCCTCGTGAAGGCAGTCAATTGCATCGCCAGACTGTGGCGAAACGTGCGTGAGTGCAGTGACATCCATCAACATCGCATGGCAACTGTGTGTGGTCCCGGAAAAAGGAAGACTAAGAAGACAGATGAGTTTCATCTCATTTACTGGGCCATTTCATTCCTTTGCATAAGACAGGAACCGACACGAGGGGTGGCTCGGATCTGTTGAAAGACACCCGGGCAAGGCATGTGCACAGGTGCTCGGCTTGGGTCCTCCACGTCATCCATGGTCACAGGCGGCATGCCTTCAACCTGCACGCTGCTACTACTTGTAGCAGCACGGAACTAGTGACTGGATAGTCAAACCGACTGCCCCATGCAGTTCCTCGTATCCAGGTTTTCTGAATGAAGCCCTGGAGTTTAGTCAAGTCTAGTACACAATCCGGAGTCAATCGAAAGAAGCCAAAGCGAGGCGAGATCCGGCGGCAGTATACAATGTCGCTGAAGCCCAGGAATCCATGCCTCTGCTCTGCTCTCATCGGCGGCGGTGGCATCCTCCGGCTGAAAGCAAACAAACCTAGATGAATCCTGGAACGGCTGTCCAGAACATCTACGACAAACTTCGCCTGCTGTATGTATTCACAGCGAAGCTGTGCTGAAGCGCTCACTGGCTCCGTCTTCTTCCACACACTCTCTCTGCCCGTTTGCTGACCTCATCGACTTCTGCAGGACCCAGATCCTGCGCTCAGCGAGCGATTCGGACAGGTTGCACCACAGCATGATGTCACGATACGCTCGAGGCTGTTGAACCACTCGCTGAATTGATTCTCACTTTCTCCGGCTCTCTCGCTCTCTCTCGCTCTCTCTCTCTCTCTGCCCCGTCCCTGACCTCACCGGCTTCTGCAGATTCACCCAGGTCCTGCGCTCAGCACAGACAGTTGGGCGGCCAATGCTGCGGAAGAAACAAGAAGACATCACGTAACGTACCCTTATATCTGCAACACCCACTTGCGAGCCCAAGGGAATCGACGCCTCTACGGCGCTCTCATCGGTGGCGGCAGTGACATCCTCCAGATGAACGATGCCAATCCGCAACACACAACACATTCTCGAACGGCGGTCCAGAACATGCATCACCAACCGAGTCTACAGCATTTTGTCACAACGGACTTGAGGTTGTGGGAAGCACTCACAGCGTTTGACTCTCTCTCTCTCTCTCCCTCTCGCTCTTTCTCCCTGCCCCGTTGCAGACCTCACCGGCTTCTGCAGATTCGCCCAGGTCCTGCACCCAGCACACAGAAGAAAACTAGTAGACATCTCGTAACGCACGCCATCTGCAACATCCAAGATCTCAGGGAATCGATGCCTCCACGGCGCTCTCATCGGTGGCGGCAGCGACATCCTCCTGATGAAAGATACCAATCCACAACGACCAAGACATTTTCGAACGGCGGTCCAGAACATGCATCACCAACCGAGTCTACAGCATTCTGTCACAACGGACTTGAGGTTGTGGGAACCACTTACAGCGTTTGACTCTCTCTCTCTCTCTCTCCCTCCCTGTCGCTCTTTCTCCCCGCCCCGTTGCGGACCTCACCGGCTTCTGCAGATCCGCCCAGGTCCTGCGCTCAGCCCAGACACTTGGGCGGCCACGAAACCACAGCATGCTGCGGAAGAAAACAAAAAGACATCACGTAACGTACCCCTACATCTGCAACATCCACTTGAGAGCCCAAGGGAATCGACGCCTCTAGAGCGCTCTCATCGGTGGCGGCAGTGACATCCTCCAGATGAAAGATATCAATCCACACAATGCGGTCCAGAACATGCATCACCAACCGAGTCTACAGAATTCTGTCACAACGGACTTGAGGCTCTGGGAAGCACTCACAGCGTTTGACTCTCTCTCTCTCTCTCCCTCTCGCTCTTTCTCCCCGCCCCGTTGCGGACCTCACCGGCTTCTGCAGATCCGCCCAGGTCCTGCGCTCAGCACAGACAGCTGGGCGGCCACGAAACCACAGCATGCTGCGGAAGAAAACAAGAAGACATCTCGTAACGTACCCCTACATCTGCAACATCCACTTGAGAGCCCAAGGGAATCGACGCCTCTACGGCGCTCTCATCGGTGGCGGCAGTGACATCCTCCAGATGAAAGATAACAATCCACACAACGCGGTCCAGAACGTGCATCACCAACCGAGTCTACAGCATTCTGTCACAACGGACTTGAGGTTGTGGG